ATTAATGTCAGTTTTCGAAAAATAAAAAAAAATTGTATGTTTCTGTAAAAAATAAAAAATTATTGAAAAAATAAAAGTGTGCAATACTTTTGTCCCCCCCCCCGGTAAGTTGGAATATTGTCTTACCTGCAACACTTCAAACAATAAATTCAAAATCGCAATTGTAGCATAGAGCGGTCATTCGAGGCAAATGTACCATCCCTCATGGTATTAACTTGACCCACATATATTGTATTATATTTAGGAGGGTCATGTACTCATGTTAGGATGTCGTCAGGATCATTTGAGTCACCTGAAAAAATGCGCAGTTGACGCACGTCGAAATAAAATGAAATTTTTTCCCATATCAAGTGGATCACATTTCTGATCGATCTTACTTTTTTTTTTTACCCTCGTAACTATGGATTCAACACCTGCGCTAACGGCTTTTTACCACGTCAATGCGATCGAAGACTGGAAGTGCTTAAATATTGTAGAGTATTATCGCTCGAAGGTAGAACATGTAGAACAAAAGGATTTGAAACAAGTTCTGGATCGTATAAAGAAAGATCTTCGTTTGGTGGCAAATTCCAGGTCTGATTTTGATGCAACAAGAAGAGGAAAAGCTCAAAAGATTTTGGACGATTGGAAGGTATGCTCATTAGTAACGCTTGTTAGCAGGATTCGAATGAGCTAAGGGCTTAATCTGAACAGTAATGAACTGCTTGTTCGACGCTTAGCGCAAGCTGGGACTGCTAGTCTCCAGTGATGAACTGCTTGTTCGACGCTTAGTGCAAGCTGGGACTGTTAGTCTAACAAGGATGGGCTCTTAATTCAACGCTTTTTTTGCTATATTGTATTATTATTGTTATTGTGTAGCTTATACTTGCTAATCATGTATGTTGTTTCCAAAAGAATTGGACTACGCCAGTGAAGAGCTTAAAACAAAAATGTGCAAACGTCAATGTTGAGAACCTGCAGATAAAGAAGGTAAACCAACTTTCAACTGGAAATGACGCGACACATAATTACAATCGTATAACATTGGGAAAACGTCATCGTGATATGAAAGTGAAGATGGCTAATAAAAAAAAGGTGAGATCATTGCGTCGCATATCTAAATTTCGTAATCCACGGAAATATGGCACATTCTTAAGGGATTAAGAATCTGGAGTTCGTGTTATCCAGATGTGAAGATCCACGGAACTAATTATTTTGTGATTTGCTCGTAATAAACTACAAATTTTTGAACTTTAGGATGAAGAAAAACCTCCAAAGAAACGTCATCAAGAAAAAGGGTTAGTATATAACTTAAATTTTTATTGCACCTTTATAGAAGATAATTGATTTAATTTTATTTAGGGAGGCACATTACCTGATGGTACCAGGCTTGAAAAGGCGACTCCTCTGAATCTTGCACCGCCGGACGATGAATGTAAAGACAATGATCCATTGTTAATGTTAACTCCGCCGTACAGTGTTGAGAATCGGAAAACTTACGTAAGTATACGTTATTTTAATGTTTTTTTTATGTCATTTATGATATCGACCTCGTATTTCTGTAGGATTTGGGTGATGAAGTAGATGATTTTTTTAAAAGTCCCGCCGAAAAAAAAAAATCGCCCGGTCCGTCGGAAGATGAAACGGATGACGAGGAGGGTGAGGTATAGTATTTATATTGCTTAATATTTTAGTTATCAGTATCCATAACGGATAATTTAGGATTATTATTTTACGCTTTCACTCTTTGTAGATTAGTCACCATGCAGAGAAGCATGAGCGAGATGAGTTTCCTTGGTGCTCCAATTGTGACGCGGAGGTAAAATACATTAAATTTTGCTGTTGTAATGGATAAATGTTACTTATATTTTTTTATTCTTTAGATTAATATTTTGGATATCACATTTTGCCCGTACTGCGGAAAAAATATATTGTCAGATGATGATTCAGATGAGGAAAATATAACAGACGATATTGAAGAAGACACGGATACTCCTCCTAAAGTTGACAAGATTGCTTTTCACAAAATGCATAATACTATTCCTAATGATGCTAAGTTGAAGTTGAGCACGGGAAAAATAGTGGAGGACGTTCTTTTCGGATTTGCAAAAGATATGGATTATGAACAGTAAGTTTCTTGAAATTTAAATTCTTTTTATCTTTTCGTTCATGATATTAACAACATATTATTAGTCATGCCCATTCATATATTGTGGACATCGATGATGAGGATATCAAAGCACTATTCACTGATTTAGAGTGGAAAGAATTAACAGAAGATCGAATTGGTATTCCATCCATTCCACGTGATATTGCACTGGAACTGGCGAAATATGGAAAAAATACCTTAGAAAACTTGCGTACAGCCGTAATGAAATCATATCTTGAAGATGGAGAAAAATATGACGTCCGTAAACATTACGATCAAGAATGGGTCCAATTGGCTATGCAAATCTGTACGAAAATGTAGATTCTCCTCTAACAAGAACTCAATACGAAAATTGGTTCACAGTTGCACTTTTGGAGCGTGTATTGATTTCCTTATTAGAGACCATCAATTGGGAACCGACATTAAGAGGTTAACTAGAATAAACAATAAATTAAATAAATTACTATCAATTTTCACCTTTTTTTTAATACGCTTATTTATAACTGTTTATAGAACCGATGCACCATCTTTAAGTAGTGCTAACAGGAAGAATCGTGGACGGAAAGCGAATACACGAGCAAGAAAGCTTATCGGTCGAAAAATCGATGGAATTATATATTCCGTTGAAAGACATCTTGAATTTGGGGCAATCGAGGGAGCCAGATCCTTTCAAGGAGTTTCAGACCAGAAGTATCTTCTTGAAAGGTTTAAGATGCCAAAGACGCTCCGTGACATGTATTCAGAATTGATAAGGGCTGTAAATTTTGATAATCAGAAAGTAGAAAAAATTCAAGTCTTTGGCATATTACATTTTGGATTATGGATCCAATTCACAAGGTTATGGTGTGCTGGTGGGTCAATTTGCATTTTTTGTAAAGATCTCCCATCTCATAATGTAGATAGTACATTTTCAGAAGAAGGGATAAGATCCTTTCTCAAGCTTCTAGTATCAATTTATAAGTACAAGGTAAGAAATAATTTATTCTTGTAATTATGACCTGTTTTTCTTCAGCTTCCCATTCATTTGAGTTTTATTTTCACAGATTATCATAAAGAACAATTTACAAATCCTAAATATTCGGAATGATAATGTCAATATTATGTCAGAGAGTGAGTTGATAAATGAATTGATAAATAATTCTTCACAATCACGCTCAGTTACTCCACCACTATGTTCAACTAAATTCTTTTCTGATTGCTTCAAGACCCCACGGAAACAAAGGAAACCAAGGAAAAAACCCCCAGCAAAAAAGAGAAAATTGTAATTTTTGAAGTAAACAAATCAGATGGCAAGGAGTCAAGGACTAGATTATAATTTATATATGTATTTTTACAATTTTATAATGAAGTTTAACTTTTATAAGGGAAAAATAAAGTATTTGTTAACCTGCTTACATTGATTGGGCTTGTGTTTTTTAATATATGTTACAACCTAAAAAAACTTCAAGATCGCTTCGTAAATGCCGTGCACCAGACAAATTTAGATCGTATTATTACAAATCATAATCCCAAGATATTAAATCTCAAATATTTCCCAGTATCTGATATCTTGTAATCCCGTCTTCTGAAAAGTGCTAGAAAAAATCACATGTTTGATCGTTCCCTGAGGGAACGGTTTTTAAAATTTAGTTTTCGGTACGAAAAATTCATCATGTGAGAAACGATCACCTGAAATGCGCTGTGATATCGGAGAAATTCTTGCCGGGCTGTGCGACGTACGAATCGCATATATATTCGCATTATTTTTTTCGCTTGTGTTATGGAATCCGAGTTTGACTTACTTAGAGAAGAAAAATGCCCAGTCTCATGGCCAAGATAACTGTGCTCGAGGCAAGAAATGCCGAGCTTAGAGAAAGACTCGCAAAACTGGAAGAGAAGCAGTTGGAGAACGTAGTAATAAAAAACATATTACATGCGTCATGCGTAAGCGCCTCCGGCCAAGTATCCCGAAAAAACATGATCATATATCCCGGCTATGTACTCGAACCTCATCTTTATAGAATGTATCGCAAAATAAACACATCATCTGATCTCTTAGCCAGTGATAATAAATTTCTATATGCTATTTTTTGATCGCCGAGCTAATACATTCTAATACAGGTAATTTTGTAACTCAGAATCGGCCCTCCCTTGATCTATCGGGTTGCCGAAGGCAACTAACTTATCTTAATAGCATATTCTAAAAGTATATCCAGATAGCATATCCTGACAGGTTTATCTTTTTTCGAATAATATGAGAAAAAAGGATTATTGGACAATAAGATTTCCAGCGAAGATCCAGGGACATTCATGTTTTGCAACTATCACGGCGGATCCTTAGTGTATGGGAAAACGATAGGTGCGTTGCTTGCAAGATTGATATTTCAATAATTTCGAACTTACTATATTTGCGGAACAAGATAGGAGGATGTGAAACAAATGTTAACTTATCCTCAAAGATCTTTGATCATAGGGATGAAAGTAATATAAGTAGGAGTGAACATGGAGAAATTACTTCACACTTTGCACTTCACTCTTTACAATTCATCACTATGGCCAGTGAACCTTCGACCAGCACTTTGGAAATTCAAACAGATACTTCTGAGCCTTCCCAACTCGAAGTACTTGCATTAAATTATCTTCGAAATCAAGAGATTTTAACTATCCCCACCAGAATTCTGAAACTCAATCCTTGCAGTATTTGCCAAAGAGTAATCCTAAAATTCTGATTTCAATCGTTTGTTGTGTTAGATTGCAAACACCTTTTCCACCGCCAATGTCTTGAGAAGTATATTATGTAAGCAGAAACTGAACCACCTCTTACATGCCCTTTGTGTAATGTAATCATTGAGCTGACTAGAGAAGAGGTAGTACTCACTTCTGGAAAATATCACCTTCAGAAAAAACAAACTGACACTGGACAGGGTAATGAGAAGCTCATGACTTCGCTAAGATTGGTAGAAGGTGGCTCTTGTGCTAAACAAGCAAGTCAGTCGAAGCAAGTCACTATGCAGGATTAGGCAATAAATCCAATCATTATTGAGGATAATGATAATAACCAGTCCAATTCTGTTGATAATAGGTAAGTGGAGCAAATCCATGCACAGCACCTCTGGACATTCTCACATATATTTATGCAATAACTGTTTCCACTCTCATCTTTTATCTATATCCAGAACTCCAGAAAATCAAGCTAATTCTAATAGTGAAATCTGCGTCACTAATATATAGGATAACTTAGAGAATCAATTTAATGTAAATAGCGGAAATGATACCAATATACAAGAAAGTAAATCTCAATCAAGAAGAAATTCATTAAGAAGACAAACCTCTCTAAGGATCACTCATGAACAAGAAAAATTCTAGGCCCTATTACAAGAATTATCTACGCTTACCAAGAGAGAGAAAGCTGAAAATGTTGATAAGAAGGAGGATGCTGATGGATCTATATCACAAAGCTTAGCCCAATTATATCAAAAGGCAACTCGTACTAGATTACGCATTACAAAGGTAAATCAAGATGAAATTTTATGTAGTATAAATATGCTGAAGGGTTCGAAAATAGGGTTAGGGAAATTAGATCTCAAAATTCATCAGTTACCAATTCAACAGCTAAAAGTCGAGCATACCATAAAGTCTTTCAATATCTTTCAGGAATTACAAAAGTAAATTTGTGTAAGAAAATCCAGAAAGCAAAGAATATATATAAATAGTATTATACAAAATCAGATCAGATCAGATTTTATCTAAATCTGATCTGATCTGATTTTCATTTTTTAGGATCTGAATCTAATCTGAATCTAACGGATCTGTTGAAATCCAGATCTGATCTGAATCTGACAGATCGAATCTCAAATCTGGATCTGACAGATCAGTTTAAGTCCAAATTTGATCCGATCTGAATCTGAAAGTATTATTGAAAAAACGAATTTTCAATTCTAAAAAAGATCCAAAAATGTTTCTCTTCAATGAAAGAAACCTTTTCAGCTCTAAAAGAGTCTGAAAAGTCATTCCTTTTCATTGAAAGGAACCTTTTTAGCTCTGAAAGAATTCTGAAAAGTCATTCCTTTTTATTGAAAAGAATCTTTTCAGCTTTAAAAGAGTTTTGAAAAGTCATTTCTTTTCATTGAAAGAAACCTTTCAGTTCTAAAAAAGTTTTGAGAAGTCATTACTTTTCATTGAAAGAAACCTTTTTAGCTCTAAAGAGTTCTGAAAATTTGTTCCTTTTCAATGAAAAGAACTTTTCAGCTTTAAAAAAAATCTGAAAATTTGTTCCTTTTCAATGAAAGAAAACAAATTTTTGGCTTAAAAGAAGTCTGAAAAGTCGTCACTTTTCATTGAAAAGAAACTTTTTGACTTTAAAAAAGTTGAATTCAGATCTAACAAATCAGATCTGAATCTAAGCTGAATCTGACAGATCAGATCTGAATCTAAATCTAAATCTAACGTGATCAGATCTAAATTTGAATCTGAATCTGACAGATCAGATCAGATCTGAATCTGAATCTGAATTAAATCTGAATCTGATAGATCTAATCTAAATCTGTGTGGAATATTATATATAAAGTATTTGTAAGAATAGGGACAAATAAGATCAAGCAGGTAAAATCATATAGTGCCAATACTTTTTCAAGTCTATCTACTACCAAATTCAAAATATTATAGATTGTTTCTTATGTAATTATCTATAATATAATTCTGTGAAGATTTTTTATGCTGTTACGTAACTATTGTGTCATATTATTACATATTATCTGTATTTACAATTTTGCATCTAATAAAGTATTTTTTACTCACATTGGACTAGTAATTTTTACTATATATATATGTGAGTGTTAAGTGCGTATAATTGAAAGATACAGTAATGTGTCACAAACTTTTTTTCTGATTAGCTAATCATCTTGTGATTTATAAAAACTCGCTAGCTCCTAGAACTCTTCTAGAACTATCAAAAAACTGGCAGGGATTTAGGAAATCACATGTGATATGATATATGTCATATCACAAACTAATTTAACTAGGCATCGTGCATATGTATGTAAATATAAAATTAGCTTAGCCTGAGATATGATCTTATATAAATCCTGATATGCTTGTAATTGAATAAAAATGAATCTGATATTTTATTATAATATAGTTGTTACAAACTGTTATAAATCATTATAAATCAATAAAAAATAGTGAAATTGCTAAAAATATTATTTTATCGCTTAAACATTTATAAAGATAGATTTAGATAGTAATGCCTATTATAAGCTTTGTTCGTCTGATCGTGATGATAGATATAATGAGATAATAAAAGCAATACACCAATAATATGCACTTGGAAGATTGGAAGCACCCTTGGAAGCACTTTTGGAAGGGTTAGAAGCATAATTCTCTAATAAATTCATTTGGGTTGGAAGTTTCCAATCAAATTTTATACTATTGGAAGCATAAGATGCACATCATTGCAATACATCTTTTATAACATAAACATGATAATGAAACACCAGAAATGTAATGCTCTCGTATTCGTGATCCATTTAGAAAAATACTTGAAGAGAATCCAGAAATATTTTCTAAGAATGAATATATTTATATGTATGCAAAGTTTTATAAAGATGGTAAAGGGTTTTATCCTAGTGAAAATCTAATAAATTATATATGGGCTCTTTGCAATAGAAAGGGAGGAAACTACCAAAAAAAATTTTTTTGAATTAATGTTAAATCTGGACTTATTTTATTAAAAAAATAATATTTAGCTTATAAAGCAAAAAAAATTTTTTTTTGGTAGTTTCCTTCCTTTCTATTACAAAGAGCCCATATATTGTAGTATATGTGACTCCCTAGTATTCATCCCTGAAAGGCTTATAGGTGAATTTCTCTATCAAGATGATCACTTGAAGAGATGTATTGTTAGCAAAGCTAACCCAATAGAACATGTAAAAAGAAAAGAAATTCTCCAAGCTATTAATAGGAGAAAATTTCAGATCTGGCAGTATAAACAGTATATATTACAAGAAAAGGCTGAAATAAAGCGTCTTTATCTAGAGCTTTTCTCCCAATCTATCTCACACTCAGAAAAGGATAAATTGTCACCAATATTATATAATTATAATACTTGTTTAGTCAATTATGAAGTTTACCTTTTAGCTAAAGCAACTATAGCAGAAAATATGATACCAAGTGCCACAAAATTCGAGTCAGCTTGTATTTCACCTGTCAGGCAAGAAGTGATTTCACTAACTTCTTATCAATCATCAAATTGCAAAAGTAATGCAGGCGAAATATTTATCTTATCTCAGTATGCAAAATAAAATAACTTACTACCATCTGTAAACCATCTTAATTGGCTCACATTAAGACTGAGAGATAGGACAAAAATCACATTCATTTAACTGACTTATTTTAAGAAATATATTAATTATAAACTATTGCTTTCAATTGAAGATTAATATCATTTAGCCAAAATATAATGTATAACATTCTTTATTTTTTGCGCTATATAATCTGTATCTGGTAAAATTGTGAAATGTATCACCTGCTAGATAAAAAATGTGATCTGCATATTTTGGGTTAGATCCTCCAATATACTGTATAACTATTTTAGTAAAGTATTTTAGGAAGATCTATGAAGAAATCTTGGGGATTCTTGATTACGAGACAATATAACTATCAGTTTGAAAATTTCTATGCAACAGTTATTCAGTAAGCTTATAGAAATTATAAAAAAAAACCTGAATCTTTGGTAAAACGAATTTGAAAAATGGTGAGAAATAATGGTACTCCTGATGATATGAAGTTTTTAGATATAAAAAATGAAGGATATAATTCTTCAAGACAAATTTGGTATGAGGAATATTGCTTTTCAGTAAAAATAGTTGAATATATGAGAAGAGAGTCCAATTATAGTAATGATTATCTTTTGCAATATACATACTTGTTAAGAAATTATTATATCAATAAAGCTATATAGTTGTTAAAGATACACTCCCTGGCCAAAAGTTTAGGACCACCCGATAAATTTAAAAAAAACTTAATTTTTTTATTAAATTACATTTT